GCAATTTATGTGCCGCTGCCGCAGCAGCAATTGCAGTTGCAGTTGCATTCATCATCGACTGCAGCAGCGGCAGCAACAGTTGCTGCTTGGAATGCGCCGCAGCGAATGGGGCACTGTGGGAGATTCGATCGATTTACCTTTTTAAAATTGAATGTCTTCAAAAGTTTATCACCGATTATAATTGGAAATTAAGAATATTTTCTTAACATAATTTTTTTAAAATTACTTGGGTTCTTAACACTTTTAAAATGATTTTAATAATAATTTTTATGAAAAATGTATGAGAAAGAAAGAAAAATATTTTTTTTTGTTCGAGAAATAAGTTTTGTAAAATATCTATGAATAGTTTAAAATGGTTTAAACCAAATCGTTAAACTAAAAAGACTTAAACTTACCTTTTAACAATTTTTTTTCTACAATTTCAAAAGAAAATGGAATAAAATAAAATAAAAAACCCAAAATCACAGTTATTGTATCAAATTAAATTTTTTTTATAAATTTTATGATCTTCAAACATAAAGATGTTACTGCTTTTACATAGCTGCGGAAACACTGTAATACAAAATGTTTAAATGATCTGAAAACGAATGTTTAAAGGCTATAACCTTAACTTAAAATGTTGTGAAAAACAATCATTTGCAATTAGAATTTTGTTCAAGCTGCATCGTTAAAACTCCCACTGTGCGGTGACGTGCGTTCAACTATGCAAATTTGTGCAGCAGCGCCCAGTGGCCCGCCTCCTCCATCTCGTACACCCCAGGAACCCAGACCCCAGAACGCAGAACTCAGAACTCAGAACCCATCTCTGCTGCAATCTGCCCCCCACACTATTGACTTGCTACAACTTAGTAAGTGCAGATGGGAGTATATACCACACGTATATATACTTGTCAAACAGCATTCAAGCACGATTCTGGGAAGCATTCCTCGGCGCTGAGTTGACTGGGAAGACTTATGCATTGCTTTGACTACGACAGATTTTAATACAAATGAGCTGAAATTATATAGGGTTACATGGTTTGCAGAAGAAATTGGAGAAGGGGATCTGCGGATGGATAGATAACGTGTTGTCTGGACGAAAGCTGAATGTCATGACAGTTCAATCACCGAGATTGCCGATCTTGTTTGCAGCTGCGTTGAGTTATGGCCAGCGATGATGATGATGATGATGACGACGGTCTCCAGATGTGTAGAAGCGATCTAACACAATTGATAGCCCCTAGCCGAGGGGTTTTTAGAAAGCTGTGGAATAGTTTCAATTGGAAGTGAATGTCAAGCGCATTAAATGGATGGTTCCATGCGAACATTGACTCCTCGTTGAGCGGCGAAGCAATTAATCTGCAAGTTTAACGATTCCGCTAACGACTCCGTAGCACACGAGCAGGAGGTTTCAGGGTAATGCTGTCGCTGACATGTGCCCCAGACCATCCGCCAAGTATCCAACCAGCCAACTCCGACCTTTCAACCCCCAAACGGGCGATGACAAATGGCAAATTGCACTACGGCAAGGTGTGCACAACTGGATGACAAAAAATCGCTGAACTTTGACTCTCGAAAACCGAGCGTCGTTAGCGGCGGAGTAGTTGCCAAAGCGCAATTAAACGCCCCGCCATTGAAACAATTACGCTATAACAATTACGCCCTGGTTGCACATGCAACTGCTACTGCAACTGCACTGGGAGAAATGTTGTCTAAAATGTGTCATAAAAGTTCTAAATTTCTTAATCATCTTGCTATTATCATCTATATATAAAAAGCAATCCACTGGAAACTAAGAATCAACGCACAGTGAAATCCACTTAAATGGGACTTTTATAATTCGTATTAGAACTTTACTTTCTAGAGTACAATTTAATGGAACTTGGAACATAAAAATCGTTTATGGTAAAATTAAATGCATCTAGGACCTAAGAAATCTGTTTTCGAATGAGATATTATTCAAGTGGAGTATAATTCGTTTTGTTGGTAAATGGATTTTATCTTTGGAAATCAATCAAACAAGTATAGATATACTATATATATTCTAGCGTAGTCCAATGAGGTTATATTTTTGATTATTTTTTTATTTTACACTTATTTTTCTCAGTGCTCCCGTGGTTACCCCTGGTCCGATCTTCCTGCTGCCCCTCGCCCTTTGAGCCCGCTGTGTTTGTAAATGTGCCGCACTTAGCGGGACGCAGTAGCTCCTCTGCTGACGTGGCCGTCGAAGGCATTTCCATGCGTCAAATTGCCGCCGGGGCATTGCGTGTAATTACTGCAATAAAAATTGCAACACATTGCGTACAAACATGCAACATAGGAGGCGGGGGAATTCCAGAGCGGCGAGTCCAGAGCCCGAGCTTTAAGATACATCCTCGCAGCATGTTCAGCAATTATCTAATTTATTGGAGTCCATTTATCAAAACCGAAACAAATATTCAGTTCCCGAGCGCAGCTAGCGAAAAGCAAAAAGAACCGACCGACTTGCCACAATTTGTGACTGACTAACGAGCAGTCAGCACATTCAGCATTTGGCAACAACCGAGTGCACTTGGCCACTTGGGTGGCAGGCTGATTGGAGCTGCATGGTTGTGGTTGGGGTTTTATTTTTCTCGTATTTTAGTAGGGGGGTCTATGGGGGCCTGAGGACGTCCGTCGAGCGGAACGCAAGTTGATTGCATTTTTAGCATAAATTTCAACGCATTTGACTAATGTCCCGACATTTGTTAGGGGGGTTCCACTGCCGCATTTGGCCATTTTTCACCCGGCAAGTACTATTCTCAACCTGGCATTGCCCATTATCATTTCCACTTCCCTGGAAAAGCTACGTCTGCTCGTTCTGCTAATAGATAATGCGATGCCTGATGGACGACTTTCGACAAAGTCGTATGCAAATCTCCGCCACTTCTGCCCGCTGGCCATGTAATTGTTTCAACTGCTTAATATCACGTATACGCACCGTTCGCCCGCTGCAGTTACCAGTTACCGGAGTGCAGACAAAAACGACGACGTCGCCATGGCCGCGTCAACAGCAGAACAGCAGCAGAAAAATTAATTAACACGCCAAGTCTGCCTGGACACGCCTGCAGCACGTAGCGGAGACTCCAGCTCGGACTCGGACCCATGGCCATACCCACACTCGAAACCATACCCACCGAAACCCAGACCGAGGACCGGAGCCAGGGACTTACCCAGAATCAGATTCAGAACCATTACCCAAAAGCACACTGAAAAAATTATCTGTTGTAGCTTGGATTCCCAGTTAAAGAACTCTGAGATATATTTAAGTGATCTTAAAAAGATGATCCAAAAAACATTATTGATATAAAGATATTCTTCTCTGCACTCCTATGTCCCTAAGTTATTTATTTGTTGATATAACTTAGCTATAAAATAAGTATTTCATTAGATCTATATTTTTTGGAGCACTACATTTAAAAAATCTTTTTTTGGGAATAGATATCTTTTTATCTATAATTTGATTTCTTGAACTTTTCTATGTCATAAGAAAAGTATATAACCCCTATTTTTATCCAATCCTCTGTAAAATAAATGTAAAGTTTTTAAATATTTAGATCAGATCTTTTATTGAAATTGTTTTTCCTAAAATGTTTTATCGAAGTGCACTGCAGAACCCTGAGCCCAGCACGGCTCCGTTGTTTGGCAGTTTCTATTTCTCAGATTTTTTCTGTGTGCTCTGGGTATTTATGGCCATTGCAGTAAAAACCTCGATGCAGTTGTGGGAGGTCGGGCGGATTGGGGGCGGTGTTAAGTGAAAAGCGTGAAATTTATAACAGCCAATAGATTAAGCTAGAATATAAATAACATTTTCAGTTTTTTTGCGGCCCGGTTTTTTCTGCCCGCTTTGTTGTCCGCCTTTTGTCTATTGTCTGGCCAATGCACTATGGGGAATTTGACCACTTTTTTTGGCCAAAACCCATTTTTTAAAAGTCGTTAAAAATAGGTTTTGTTTATCAGAATGCATCACGATAACATCAATATCTAATGTTACTAACAGAAAAGTTTAACAGTACGCACCACTGTTAAGTTATCAGCTGTTAAAGCCTGTTTTTATTTCAACGAGGTGGCAGCGCTGGTAAAGCGCCTATTATTCTTAATAGTTTAAATTGTCAAAAAGTGTAAAATTAAACATAGCTCTGAGGTTTTTGAAATACCATCCAATCAGAGGGACTTGTAACTTGTGTTTGTGACCTTAATATTGTATTTATTGATTGTGGTGCTCGTATATTCGTGTTCTAGTTCTAACCTCAAAAAAATCAAAATCTTTAAGTTAATTTGTATTTTTAAATAGAGCTACAAAGTGATTCCAGCAGTTTCCACCTCTGAAACCTTTTTTATCTTGTAGAGAATTTAATTCTCATTGAGCTCGGTTAGTATAAAAGTGCACTTTTGCGCACTTTCTCTAAAATTTAGCTTTAAAGACCTCTACCTAATATGGTATATTTTCCTCATTTTTGTCTGGTAAATGCCAGTTTCGATGTTATCTTAAGAAAAACAGTGTGCAGTTATATTTCTTATTAAATAACGATTATTTAAAAATTATTTTACAACATCATTTCACTTACTTAACGTTGATATATAGGATTTTAGTATTTTTGTTAAGAATTATAGTGATCACAATACAAAAAATTACAATTTCACTAAAAAAATGGGAAATAAAAAAAGGCAAAATTTTTTTTTTAAATCAGTTTTGTCTCTTAAAAAAAAATTCAAGAAAAAAAATTTTTTTTATTTTATTGACAAGAAAAAAAATTTTTTTTTCTTAAAAAAAAGGCGGGACCACGCCCATCTTTTTTTAATTTACTTCCTTTAAATTTTATATACTTAATTCTAAAAACAAAACTTTTAAATGTTGCTTTGTTCTTAAGATATTAATTAATGCCACAAAAAGTGAGCAAATTCCCCATAGTGCAATGGGCGGAGGATTATTGGAACCAATAATTTAGCAGCGTCGCGCCAAGCACAGATTCTTAATCAATTGTTTTTGCTCTTTCTTGCAGTTGCCGCCGCCGTCACCCAACCGAAGAACTCAACCGCACTCCTGCCGTATCTGCAGATCCAGAGGCACGCCGTCACAAGACTGACCATCAGCAGGCCCCACTCCCCGTACTATTTGCCATGCACACCCATCCTGTCGCCCTACAACTACGATCAGGGTGAGTACTTTCTATCGGACCTTAAGGAGGTCTAATATTTTGGATAATATTTGTAATCTATAATCCAATGCAGAAGTCCAGCCCATCTACTGCAGCTGGTATCGGAATGATTTGGTCGTCGAGCAAGTGTCCTTCCGCAAGAATGACTTCTTCATCTATGATAATGGCACGCTGCGTCTGCCCACGAATGAGAAGGCCAGTGGAGAGTACTACTGCAAGATCGAGTGGGATGAGTCGGCGGTAATTTCCGACCGGATCACTGTCGAGTACCCAGGTAAGTTGGTCTTTTAAAACGAATCCAAAATATAATGTACTCGACTAAAAATTGTAGAGTTGCATGTTTCATAAGCCATTTTAAGGTAATATTTTAGTTTTGAATTTAAATTGCAACCTTTAATTGTATGTATAGTTCCATAAAATAATCATTTTCAATTAAATGAAATATAAAATATGTGTGTTACTTATTTTTTTCAGTGCTCAAGCGTCTTTTTCCGGGTCAACAGCAGACGGCCAACATCAGTGCGATAGAAAACAAGCCCCTTGTGCTGAGTTGTCCCTTCCTGAGTGTACCAGCTGCCCGTTTTAGCTGGTATTTCGGCAACGATTCCCTGACCAATGACAACAGGCGAGTAAAGATCAGTGTTGAAGCATCCAGCAGCGGGCCCAGACTTGTGGGATAATCCTACATACTTGGAGAGCTTGCCAGCTGGATGGGTTGACCCACACTTGGAGTTCTTTCTTTCTAATTTTGTTTCGAAAAATCAATAATCTTATATTTTTACAGTGCTCTGATCCTATCGAATGGTACTTTGATATTGCGTGATTTGCGGATGGAACAGGCTGGCAAATACAAGTGAGTAAAAAAAGAGAATGCTTTTATAAAAATAAAATACAAATGATCGAAAGTTTAGAATTTTAAAAGATAAAGATATATTTATTTAAATCCATAAAAGTCGACTTTAACTCAGAACTTCTCAAATTCAATCCGAATAGATTTTGTGAGTGTATTGTTTATAGATAGATAGCAAATAATGCCTTACAACTCTTGTCAATAGACCCAGTAATAATCATATAAACACCATGAATAACATACAAGAGGTGAAGTTTTTTTTAAAGATGCAGTTAAAGATAATTGCTAAGTATGCAGTTTTACACACTGGCACATTTACCATGATGTATAGTTCCCTAACTCCGCATAACTTCCTCTCCGATCTGCCCAGTTTAACTAAATTAAGACCGAAGGCAATTTTCCATTTGGCTGCTGCCGCCGCCGCGCTCCACCTTCGCCGCTGTGGCAAAATCAACACCTTTTGCGGCACTCCATGAGGAGAGCCACTACATGTGGCACTTGCCACATTCACGCACCGCTCGCACCACCGCCGGCGTGCCCTTAAACAATGCATTAATTAACACTTAGCGGCGGCCCACTGGTGGCTGTAATTGCGGCCATTGTCCATGTCAATTATAGCGCGAGACCACTGACCATTATCCATTATCCATCCACTATTCCCTCTGTTGCAGATGCGTGGCCCAGAACACTTTTGCCAGCAAGGCGCACCGCCAGTTCATTTGGCAATTGCGCGTGGAACCCAAGGATGCCCCATATTATCCCAAAAACGAGGCTGGGATCCCGGAGACAGCCGTTTCGCAGGCCCAACTACTGCCGGCGTTTCAGAATGAAACAGTTTTTGTGCCCTCTGGAGGATCCGTATTGCTGCAATGCCACGCGGTGGCGGACTTTGTGGCCATCGATTGGTATCTGCACTCGGCCAACAACAAGGTGATCAGCCTGAGCAACAACAGCGTGGCCTATTCCATCACGAATGCCAGTGTTTCGCAGCACGAGGGTCGTTACAGTTGCGTAACGCTGCTGGAAACGCAAACATTCCAGGTGATAGTGACCACACCGCCGAGGATAGTCAATCGCCTGCCCGTCGAGGTGGTGTACATTGGCCTTTCGAGGACCCTAACCTGCCGGGCCGAGGGTCATCCGGAGCCGAGTATCACCTGGTACCACAACGGAGTCCATCTGAATAGCTCCTTTACCCGCTACATTAGCGGCAACGAGTTGCATGTCCACTCTTTTGATTCCAAGGAGGAGGGCATCTACCAGTGTGTGGCCCGGAATGTGGCTGGCGCGGATTCGGCCACGGGTGAACTGCGTTTCAATCGGCAGCTGGAGGAGATCAACCCGTTGCAGAATATCCGTTGCTATCCACACAGTTTCCACACCATTAACATTACGTTTGACAGCCGCAGCTTGACCTCGATGTTTGTGGTCTATATCGTGAAGAGCAATCCGCACAGCTGGAATTCCTTTGGGCCCATGAAGCTGAATCAGACCTCCTACGTGGTGATATCCACTAATCTGCCGGTTTACGAGCCCTTTGCCCTGATCACCCGGGTTTTGTTTCCCACCACGGAGGTGAGAACAGGAACCTCGGTTCCCCAGCAGATGATACTTAGTTCTTTGAGAAGTACGCCAGTTATCTGCTGCACCCAGGGATGTGAGTAAAACTAATGCCTCTTTATAATGCTACCGAAACATCGAAAGTTCTAGAGGTTTTGGTGGCTTTCCCGATTAACATTACTTTCCGAAATAATTATATTTCCCTTCCCTAGTAATGCTTCGACCCATCGCCGTGGGCAACGACACCTTTGTCAAGTGGTCGCAGGGCAAATTGGACAACAAGAAGTACTTCATTCTGCAGTTCTCCATCAATCACACCCATCCGCATCCCGCGCAGCTGCTAAATGGATCTCTATATGGCACCCTTTCCAAGGACGGTAGTCCTGAGGAAAAGGCCGACGAAGTGCGTCGCCATCTGAAGATAATCCAGCCGCTAAATCAATCTGCGGCAGCCACTGTTCTAAGGAATGTCGAGCACGAGGACAACGTGGTGGATGACATGACTTTGGAGCTGGAGGAGGACATTTTCAGCCTGGTAGTAGATGCCAATGTGACGGGAATGCTGCTACAACATTTCACACGCATCAAGATGCGAGTGCTGATCATCACCAGCGAGAATGAGTTCCTGGGTCAGGACTTTCGCTATGTTCAGTGGAAGATTGTGAGTAGACTGTACTGTAGGGGATTATTTTTTCATCTCTCCAATATCCTTAAAAAGGGTGGCTAATAACATGCTTTGAATTCCTTCCCTCTTTCAGATTGAGAATGGCACCTCGGAGCAGGCAAATATGCCCTTTCGTCTTATTACCATAGAATCTCGGGCCCTGACCTTCAAGTTTCTGGATAGCCTTAATGAAACCTGTGTGGTGGAGTGCCACACGGTGATACAGAAACAAATGAACTTTCCCAGCCAGCAGCCAGAGTGCCAGGAACGCAACATTTCCAACTCCATGCTGTTTGTCACGGGTCTCAAGGCAGATGTTAATTACAATCTGCATTTCTACAACTGCAAAACGCGCATTTTCTATGGCGAAATAGATGTGAAGACCGAACAGGATCGTAAGTTTGTCAAAAGGATTTTAAAATCCCTTTTTAAGGTGACTAAAATAAGCAATGAGTAAAATATTGTGGTCTTTCATCTTTTGAATTCATTGTACTTTGAAGTAAAATATATCATTGCATATTTTTAGACACGTAAAAATTACAGCTTAAATAAAACTCGAAAGAGTACGGTTTATTTTTAACTATTATATTTTTTAGCTCCCGGCACCGTCAGCAACTCGCGGCTGATTAAACAGAATGGCTTAAAATTGGTGTGGGGGCCACCAGAAGTTGCAAATGGTCGAGTACATCATTATGATATCCGGTGGTCCTTGGATAATGTCACCCACGAGGCTGTTGTTAGGGATTGCACAGCCTGTTCTTACAAGGTAACTAAGATGGGAAAAAAACTATGGTATATCTTTATCTTATATTTTTTTTAAGTTTCCCAATGTCTCGGAGACGTCCAAGATCCATGTGGCAGTTCGCGTGGTGGGTGATACTGGAGCTGGCGCTCCCATTTACTTCGACATGATTAACAATAATCACACATGGCTGGAGGAGGACAGGGAAACATCCCATTCGGAGGTTTATAGTGGGATTGCCATCGGCTCCTTGCTGTCCATCGCCTGCGTTTTCCTCTTCGGGCTGTTTATAATTGTCCAGCAGCGCAACTTCAAGGCCCGTGCCCAAGGACCCACCCACCTGACCACACCCACGGACATCAATTTCGGTAATCTGAGCAGTGCCTCCGGGATGCCGGGCGACAGTGCCGGCGGGCTGAGTGGTGGCACATTGCAGCAGGATTGCCACGAGATGCAGACCCTCATCCCGCGTTCGCGTTACCACATCGAATTGCTGCCGGAGCACACGTTGGAATACCAGACGAGTTCGGCGGCCGTGGCGGTGGTCCATCTGGCCAACGGGAATGGCAGTGTCCAGGTGGCCAGGCGATCGGATCTGGATGCTGGAGGTGCTGGAGGAGCGGCTCAAGGGGATTTGGGTATAGCCGGAGTGCACAATCTCTCCCAAATGCCCCTGTGCGGCGGAGGAGGAGGAGGAGGAGGCGTCTCACCGGAGCGGAAGACCGTGCAGGATGCCATGTTGCAGGAGGCCAAGCTTTCTATATACCCTACAGGCATACGCCGCCCAATGCGGTGGCCGGTGGCTCCGAGCTGGAGGTGATTGTGCCACCCAACTCGCTGCCTCTGGTCACCACCATGCCGGGTTGGGCGTGGCAGGCGGAGGAGGAGGTGGTGGCTCCTCCAGTCGGAGGAGTGGCAGCCTGAGCAGCAGCAGTGCCAGCAGCAGCAGCAATGGCAGTAGCAAAAAACAATTTCACACCAACTTTGTGCGCCACTCGAATTCCAACGATGGGATTTGCCTGCTGGCCGAGGAGGAGGCGGCGGCCACCTTGACACCCACTTCGGAGCGGGAATATGCGGCCGTGTGCCTCACCAATGGTTTCAAACTGCCCGCCGAAGTGGTCAAGTCCAACAATAACAATGGCAGCAAGACCAGCCAGAAGTCAGCAACTGCCAAGGAGTGCCAGCCGCGAGGCAATGGCAATCCGATCTCGTTCAGCCACAATGCATCCAAAGTTCCTGCCAACGGACCGGCGTCCGTTAACGTCAGCCATTCGCCGGGGGTCAAGCAGAAGCAATCCTGGCCAGCGGCGACCACGGTGGTCCATCGACGGGCCCAGGTGGATCCCAATGGGTGAAGCAAGCAGTATTTTAACGAAGCTACCACATAGAAGCAAACAAAACAAAACAGGAAGATGAGGAGGATGAACCACATTCACAGCTCGAAACATTCCAAAAGTATATGAGATATGAGATATGGCGGAGATCTTTAGCATTTATAAAGAGTACATTTTATAAATGTAAATATTTAGTAACTGAAACTATGGAACTATGGGAGAAATGATTAATTAAGCTGATATTTATACACACAAACACGCTCGTATACAAAACATGTACGCTAAGTTGTATGCTATAGTTTTGTCGCGATTTTTGTACCGTACTTTTGTATTTGTTTATAGGTTTTGTTTGTTTTTCTTTCCGTTAATTGAGGCTAATTTTTACTTGTAACTTCTCTTACATATAAACATAATTTATTGTTGCTTTCGATGGCAAACACACACAGAAATAGAAACAAACATATATAGCAATAGACCGCGCAGCCCGCAAGTATGCATTACAATATTTGTCGCTGATAATTACTACGTTTAACAATTGTTTCGTAGTTGCCGCAAAAAATTCAATTACACTCACATAGTATAATATATACACAACGCAAACAGAACAGCCAAAAAACCACAAACACTGCAATAGCCCACACTCAACCACCCACTCAACCCAAAAATGAAAACCCAACCATAAAACCACAATAGTCACAAGTGTTCACATCGATTCCGATTTAAAACGTAATCTATTCAATAATATTTGTAATTTTATTTTATTTATATTTGTAGTTCTTTTTTAAGCGAACTGTTTAATGTTTAATTTCCGCATATTTACTGCTGCATTTTGTTTTGTTTACACAACCGATATATCAAATGTACCTGATTATATTCATTTTGCATTCTTGTTTTTGTGCTCTCGCTCTCACACTCCTCCCCCCAGAAACAGAAACCAATAACAATTCCAATTTGTGCACACATATTACATAACTCTATAATAAGCCACAAAATCCATCGTATTGTAACATATATAGAATCCAGCAACCGTACCTCGACACATAGCTACGCCAAACGAAAGTCCTCTGCTCCTTTCCACTCGTATATTATTTTTGATAGGATAGGGAAAGTTGAAGTAGTGGCCCACAACACAACGAGTATTTGTCGAGTTTGCAGATGTATTTTGTGAATTGTTGTTCAGTGTGAAACGAGATGCGAAAATTGTTACGAGATTCAGAGACAGAAACACCCACATATACCCCAACCTGCAAAAAAAAACCTAACTATAGAAGATACATTCCACAGGCGTATACAAGTCACAGATACACCAAATTCACACACACACGCGTAACACCAAGATACGTTTTAAAATGAGTAAAAAACAAATACGAAAAATATATATATACAATATGTATTCAATGTGAACGAGAAATGTGTTTGACAACTGTAACTGTAACTGTATACGTATTTAGAGTCTAAGTGCAATACCAACAAATAATTAAATAGCAAAAGGTAACCTTTAAGATCCCTGAGGCAGAACAAAACCAACAACTATAAACAATAGTACCTTTCCACTCAAGCAGAAGCAACGTTCAAAGTAGCAGACTCACATCGACTTTCCCGGTTAGTTGCGAATTTCCATCCCAACCTAGACCATATACCATATACCACATACCATAACCATACCATCCGTGAATAAACAATCTGATTTGTGTTCAAGCTGAACTAAAGCCGCAGACTTTGCACTTCCGAGTCACCGAAAGGAGTTATAGGCCGAAATAATTTTACAATTTACAAAACAAATGTGTGCGAAACGCATGCAAAAGCACACCAAATGCCACAAAATGAACTTTAACCTACGAAAAGCATTTAAATACACACAAATATATTCCGAAAGAACAACTCAAAATTCCTAAGAAAAACACAAAAATAGAAGGAAAATCAATTTTAAACGTTACGAAAATTAAGAAACCAACAAATTAACTAAAACTATTATATGCAGCAAAAGGCGAAAAGGAAAATTTATGTACTAAAGTTATATAATTAGGCGTAAGAAATCCATATGAATGTACGTGTTTGGAAGGGAAAGGATAAGAAAACAAGACGAGAAATTAAGTAAAATAGCTGCGATTGTGATCGCCGTGTAAGTGGATGTGATAAATGTTTAAATTATTTAAGCGCAAAAACAATAAAGAGATAATGAAATTAAATATTAGGAAGACAGGAGGACAGAAGATGGAAACGCGTTTTGCGACTTTTGCAACGGTTTTTTGGCCAACGGAAACCACTCAATAACTAAGAGTCCACTAAAATTGTAAGCAAACAATTATTATGTTCTTATCTTTGGCGAAACTGCTGCTCCTAAAAGCGCAACTCTCTACTAAAATTAACTATGCGTAGGTGTATTTTTATGTTTTTAACTTTAATTGCATTTAAGTCCACATTTTGTATACCTCATTAGTAGAGTGGCGAACAACTAAATTTTTTGTAAACATATTTAGGCTTGGTTTCCTCGTTTTTAGAATCAGAGCGGCATATTTCAACTATCCCTAACTGAAAACAAACGAAACGAAAACTAATGTATTTTTTATGCAATTTATATGCATTGTACATGCAGTCAAAATTAATTATTTGAAGCAACTAAGCTGCCAAGGATTCGTGTTAAAGATTTCGATGCAAGTAAAATTGGCAGCTGCAACCAACCAGGCCAAAAAATGGACGAACAAAATTGGCAAGGCTAAAAAGAGTCTAAAATGTAAGAAAGCTCGGTGTTTGTTTAGAGAATACAAGAGATATGGCAAAGAAGAAATGAATGCAACCTTAACTATTGGAAAAATATACTAAAAAATAAGTTATGATCGAAAACATACAGAAAAGTGTTTGATTCCTTAGATATATTGGATTTATCAGGTTTGTTTACCCATTAAGAAGTTTTCAAACATTTAATTTTATAAAATATACTTTTTTATTAATTTTAGCAATTCTTATTAACTAAGTATAAAACATCGATTGAATTAATTCTGGAAATTAATGTATGCATAAATTTTGTCTTCGTTGGTAACATTTTACAGCGGTGTAGGTTTCGGTGTATAGATAAAGAAATGTATGGTACTACCGAACTCTAAATATATAAGGTATATGTATGGTACAATATCAATAACGTATTCACGGGTGTTTGAGGGATCATCACAACAAAGTGCTAAAAAAAATGATCACAATCGATCACAAAAATTGCAAAATTATCATTGACGCCCAATGGCATGTCTAAGCATTTTAAGCTGCTCGATTTTTAGGCTTAAACTAGAGTCAACACATAATGTATGTATAACTAACTTGAGCTATGGATAGGCGAATTAAAGTTTATGAAACCACTATGCTATGCACTATTAATCAACAAGCGACGCTCTAACACTAAGCATGCCCCAGTTAGGCTGGGACATCATATTTAGGTACGCGTAATTATCATGACACCTCAGAGTTGTCGGTTCTATTCACATTTCGGTTCCAAATAGATCAGGTCCTACACACATACTCGTATAATGCATTTCAGTTACGCCGAATGCTCAGCACACCTTCTCAATCATTTTCACCAGTTCTTTGTACAGAATACAATCCCGTCCACGGGGCTTGCAGATCTCACGATGGTCGAGACGAATGCCGCAGACGTCGCCAATTCCGGGATCTATAGATAGGAAATATGGAGATTATTAGTTAAAGGAAGTCTAATTAAATTATTCCTTTTTAGGATTACTTTTTTAATGATAAAGAGGTGAAGAAAAACTTGCGATTTCTTATCATCATATTACTGGATGATGATATATTCGGATTTTCAGAATGTGATTTTGTTATCATCACTTTATTCAGTGATAAGAACTTAAGACATGAAGAACTTATTATCATTATTCATTTTTTTCCCATTATCATTAAAAACTATGATAGTCTTATAAGGCATAAGAAGTACTAACCAGCTGAGTCCACTCCCACAATTCGTAGATAGAGCACTGACATGAGCGTTAAGGCGGTCTCCACAAAGCTAAACACCTCGATCTTTAAATGACCCAGATGATAAAGTCCCGCGAATCTCCTATGCAGATCCAGCAGATACTTGTTATCTATAGGAAAATAGAATCACATTATTATGGCCGATAAGATAATCAAAATGCACTCACTTTTCTCAATCTCTAGTAGCTCCACAGATCTGGATAGTAATGGCGCCTTTATGCTGGCCAAATGGGATCCTCGATGTGGAACCGAGTAGAAGAAGCAACCGCGGGCGGATCTCCAGAGAGGGGTCATCGCAGGACGACCACTTTCCCAGGCATCCACCATGAGTTGCTTGATGAAGAGCCCACCCTTGGAGTGGCCCACGTATATAATGGGATGACCATGGCCCACCCGATGCTGGATGAGCAACTCGGCCATTTCCCGGGAGCGTTGGATCAAGCTGGAGCGCGGCTCCTTGCTCTTCCATAAAGGCCTCCATAGGTACTGGTCGGTTGTATAATTTAGGGCTATAACCCGGACTCCAGGACAATCCAGAGGCAGCCAATCGCCCGGCCAACACTTGGAGTAGTTGGGATCATTGGGCGAAGGCTTGTTCTTCCTGGTGGACTTCCTGGGCGTGGCCGGAGAGGCGGGACGTGGGCGGTTATCCTTTCCAGCGTTTCCCGCCTCATTGCCATCATTGGCTTGCAACATAGACTCCAGTTCAGCCTGTAGAAGTCTACTATTGTCCTGCATCCTCAGCCGGAAAGTGGGAAAACTATACTCGATTCCCTCGCAGATCTGAATGTCTTCCGGATCTCCACAAACATAAGCATAACTAGGAAAGAAAATACATTTTAAGAAATATTTTATAAAAGAATCCTTTCCTATAAACCTACTCGCTGTCATCGCTATCGGAAGCATTGAATTGGAAGTTCTCTGGCCTCATTGCCATGGATCTCTGCACCCGAGTCCTACGACGAACTGGGGAATCATCTGGGTGGCCAGACACCTGTTAAGGGAAGCAAACTTGGCCCTCTTCTCCCGCGGAGCCGGATGAATGGCCGCACTGCGGGAATGACGAGGTCTCTTCGGCGGACGCACTGGTGGACGTGGTGGCCTCTCGAATTCCACCGGCTGGCGATCGTTCTGCCACAGTCCCTGCTTCCATGTATTCATCAGGGATCCATGAAGACCATGAATCAAAACAATATCTGCTCGGATCGGTTGACCCGGTGGCGGTTCGGCCAGGATGTTTATGGTACAGCAGCTGGGCGCATCCGAGCGAACGCTGTAGAAGGGCGGGCCCTGCATCGGATTGGAGGTTGGACAGGGGGAGCAGGGCGTGGAGGGGGCCGTCAGGGTGTCGGGAAGACTCTCAAGGCCATCCTGCGATTTTCGCATTTTCAGGAGCTTCAGCAGGGGTCCCATGCGATTGGAAACTGGGGAAGAGAAAAACTCCTCTTAGCTAGATTAAAAGAATCGTCATATCACATTTTATGACGAATAATGATACACCTTAGGCAGTTCTATTAAGCAAGGTAATGGTTTTGGGATACAAATTTAATTTCCTTTTGAAAAATAGATTTTCTAATCCTTAAAAGATATTCTTGTATATGCAATTCGACTTTTAATTAATTTACTGAGTCCATAAATCCCTTTAATATACATTTTTTATGCTTATCATTCAATTACTCAAAATTGACTTAATATTTAAGATTATAAATAGAAATACCTTCTAGAATATGGATATATGTACATGTATATGAATTTATTTTATAATGATAATCAAGGCCTCATATCTAGGGAACTTATATCTAGTCCACCGAACTTTGACATACTTTTTCTATTTATCATATACAAGACTCACCCTGAACAGAGGACAGATTCAGTGAAATAGTGTTGGCGGCAAAGGCCACCAGGTTGGTGAGGGCCTGTCGGCTGGAGGCCAGGTTCTGTAGAACCCTCAGTACCCGGACATCTCGAATCCCTTGATGCCCCTGGCCACACCGTTGGCCAGTGGAAGAACCAGTCGCACCAGGATGCCAAATACCACTCGCATGCTGCCTCCATTTTTGCTGTCTCTAGAGGGGGATTAGTAGGTGTTTTAATTAGATATTTATAAAATTTATATGGCAACTTACGCCTCCATGAGGGCACCGGCACTGCTCGATCGCACCAGATCGCTGACCGCCTGCTCCTCCTCCTGGCGATCGATCTCCACCTCGTTCTCATTGTTGTACTGCATGTGGGCCATCGGTGATGGTGAATCATCATCCTCCATCGGAGCTTTGTGTGTCACCGGAAGACCCTCCTCCCCGCCGATTCGCATCATGGCAATGTCGCAGACGTAATTCTCATCGATTTCTTGAAGCGGTGACCCTCCTCCTCCTCCAAAACTGGGGCTTCTATTCTCGCTCTGGTTATTGTTTTTCAGGTTCTTGATTTCTGCGACATCTGCGTCTTCCACGCCGGGACTGCCATTGCAGGCAAAAGATTCTTGGGCTGGCTCAGAAGCGCTGGCAAACATTTCCCAACTTCCTCTTGTGATTTCCTGCTGCTGCTTTCGAAGGACTGGCTGAGGGCCAATTAAATCGCATCCAACATGTTGCTGGCAGGTCTATCTGCAAATTTGTACAAATCACAGAGTTCTCTGTTAATCATAGGCCAGGGAATAAAAGAACACTGGCTGCCATGCATCAATGTCAATGGTGGTCAGTGGGCTAAAAACAATTCGGTCAAGTGCAGTTTTCTCCCTCGGTTTCCTGCTCTCTGTTTTCAATCCCCTCAAGGAAAACACACTGGCTAAAAATAACGCATTCACTCTGGTCGCCGCTCTGCAGTAAATAACTTATACGACACGTGGACGTGGTGTAATAATAGCAACTGCACGAAGGACAAGCGCAGAATGCTGGCAAAAAACGAACCCTTTCGCAGAAAAATTCAACTGAGAGCGCAAATATGAAAATAAAAGAAAATACTACTGCGATTTAATCGAACTAGCCATCGAAAATCAAGAAAGATCCTATAAATTAATAAAATATTAAGAGGACCTCGTATATAAAATCATGTTAAATAAGCAAGGTTTAAGAAAAAATTTTTTAAGTATATAGTGGATACAAGAGGCACCATTTTTAGGCAGAACTCTTCCTAATTTAGGGGTTAACTATTTTCTGACCGCAAAACATTGTTGCACCATTTAATTTAGCCTACAAAATGTTACTGCCCTCCCTGAAGCTAAGGTATTTATAAAGAACTCTCCCCTGCCGCTGCAATCCAATTAGATGCGAAGCAACAAATGTCAGATATATACATTATACTGCCGCATAATGACAGTGACGTGCGCTCGGTGGAAAACGCCCTCAGGTTATGAAAAGCCAGCAAAAGGTTCAAGTTGAGGGGTCGCGTTATAAAGAAGACGGTTCTCTACGGGGAAAATATTCTCATCGCTTTTTGTTCGCGGCTATTTATAGAAAAAAATCCCGCAATATGCTGCAATATATGCAAACCCACAAAACACATTGGTTGAGAGATGTATATTAAAAAATTCAACAAGTTAGAATGACAGTTATGTACGGGTACTATAACAATGACAACCGCACACCCACTCGACTTACACTCGATTGTAAGATTGCAAGATTGTAGGATGGAAGACCGGAGAAATGCAAACCGCTCGCTGTGGAAATCTCAGACCGACTGGAACGGCACCTTGACGATACGAATTGACGAGGCCTGGTTTCTGCGGTTATACCCTATAGATAGACCCGCCCCTAAAGCACTGGCCACTTGCCGCAGTGGAATTGAGGAAAATACTTTGGCCTGAAGTGCCAGAGCAGCAATTGTCTGCCTTTCGACAAATTGAAGAGACAACGGAGAGTTCAATTC